CACGCTACAACGATTTACCATCATTCATCCTTTCAACTAACTATAGCGTTATAAAATCCTCTTAACTGATTTGAATATACTTATGTATTGTACGAAATAAATATATTAAATAAAATAGGTACAATCAAGTTTTCATCTAATCCTTAATGTAGCGCATTGATTCGATGCACATATTGGGCACTGTTGACAGCCTACAGAATTTATAGTTGCTACTCAGTCTAGCAACATAAAACGCTAAAAGATACTCCCTCCGTCCCAAAATATAAGAACGTTTTTGATACTATGCTAGTGTAAAAAACGTTTTTATATTTTGGGACAGAGGGAGTAGTTTGTACTGGATTTTTACGAGTCTTTGGTTTTCAGGTTGTTGGTGAATCTGGCCTGTTCACTCCCGACGATGTTGCATATGTGCATAGTGCTGGCGTTTCTGCTGTAAGTTTTTGTACTTATCCTTCATTTTCAAGTTATGCTTCACCACATGATTTCAGCAGAACCTTCGTAGTAATCTCTTAATATGATGGATCCAAATTTCAGAAAGATTGAGAGCCAGTAAATAATCTTACATGGGCCCTAAGGGATATGTGTTTTATTGAGGGCGATGTTCTTGTTTGCAGGTTTTGGTAGGAGAGTCCCTGATCAAGGAAGAAGATCCTGGGCGAGCCATTGCTGGGCTTTTCGGGAAGGAGCTCTTGAGTTGAATTAATGCTCTGCAATTCTGTGTGTTGGTTTTTTCCGTTCTTTTGAGCAGATTTGTGTTTGTGGCTACTTTTTATGTAGCAAGCATAAATAGGTGTGCATATGCGCTTCCGAATGGAGTGCACCACATGTATATGTATATAAATAAGAGTAATATGCGTTCCAAAATAATGTAATCCGTTCTCTTCTTTATATAGAATGTATGACCCATCTTAAAACTGAACAGAAATATTTGGTCAGAGGTGGGAGCACTGGATAGTCCTCAATAACAAAATTACCATCCAGAATATCAACCATGTACCCCGAGAAAAATGAACCCCATAGGGACAGAAAAGTTCTGGAACTTGGTGCTGCCGTGCGTAACTCCCATACCCAAAAAAAACAAGCTTCAGAAAAAAAAAATCTATACATAGATTGTAATATGATCTAGACCCCTATCCGCTACCTCCGAGGGAAACTATACATCAATCGATCAGATGACGGCGCGCTCATGTGTCGTACCCCTCTTGAGGGCATCATTCTTGGAGGTGTGCATAGGTCGACGGACGAGTGGACGGCATCTGCGATGGAGCGGCGTTCCCTATGACGCATCGACGTCGTGGAGTCTCGGCGGCGAGGCACAGCAAAGTCTCGGCGACGGATGGGTGATGATGAACGCGCATAGGGAGGAGGTGCT